GAGGTCCAGTTTAAAGACAGATTCCAGATAAAAAGCGGCACGCAGAAAGGATCTCTGATCATTCCAACAGCGAATCTGTCAGACTCAGCTGTGTATTTCTGCGCTGCTAGTACACAGTGATGTGGTTTAATACAACTGCTTCACTAAAAACCTCCTACAACATGGGAACAATAACAGCTGTGGCTCTGGGTTCTAGTCATTTGAGATCGTAGAGAAATCAAATGTTGGAGGCTGACAGCACTTTGCTGCACCGGTAATACGACAGGAAAAGGGTTACATGAGCATATAAAGTCTGCTAATTATAATTAAGAATCTAAACTACATACAGCAGGATCCTGAGGAATAGGTTCAACCAATAGGTGGAGGCACAGCACATGGTTTGCAGCTTTTATGATGAGGATGTGATGATGAATTAACCCACGCACAGACACAACCCCCCTCCCTCTTCATCCTGAGCCTTATTTTTCTCCGTGCAATACTTTACTCACATCAGTGCCTGACAATGTCCTCATCTATGCTAACCTTTGCTCTTCTCTTCATCTGTTTTCATTGTAAGAAATGTCATCCTGAATTGAACATTAAAGTAGTCATTATATCATTATTTATATAACATGCTGAACATTATCTGTGCTTCCTCCACAGGTAAGGTGAGCGCTGTTACGTTTCAGAAATCTCCTCCCCAGATAGTGAAGGAGAAGACCGCTGTTCAGATTAACTGCAGCCACGATGATACTAACCTTCCATTAATGCTCTGGTATCAGCAAAGACAGGACAGTCCGTCTATGACCCTCATTGGGTATGGATATGGAACAGGTAGCCAAAGCTACGAGGATCAGTATGAAGAACAATTCAAGCTGACGAGAGAAGACACAGTCAGAGGAACACTGATGATTCTCAGAGCAAACCTGTCGCACTCGGCTGTGTATTACTGCGCTGCCAGTACACAGTGATGTGGTTTAATGCCACTCCCTCACTAAAAACCCTCACCTTCCTGTGAATGAGACATTTGCAGTTGAGGCGCTCTCTCTTGATACATCATTGG